AGGAACAGAAGAGACTTCCAGCCCGCCAATAGTGCACATGCCAGAGCCCATTTATGGTGGACTAAAGGGCTCTGTCACCCTTTTAAAAAACCGAAGTGGACTTTTGCAGTTTGGAAAGCAATGGGAAAATTAATTGAAAAGTGCAGGATGAATGAATGGTTAATGGAAATGCATATAAACAGCCCACAAGAAAATCAGTGTCAAAGCAGGATGAATGCTCACTGTTGTATACCTACCCCACAAATCAGGAAATAATGCTCTATCAAGACCAAATATAATTTAACCTCCAAGTCAGCTTTGTGCAAGTGAATCAGGATGACTGCTCAATAAATATTTTATTTATTGCATTTATGTCCCACCTTTATTCAAAGAGCTCAAGGTGACATACATGGTTCTCCCATTCCCAGTTTTGACTTCACAATTACCCTGCGATTGGGCTGAGAGGCACTGATTGGCCCAAGGTCCCCCAGTGAGTTTCCTGGCTGAACCCCTGACTCCCAATGTCCTAGTCTGGCCCTCTATTCTCTATACCACCACTGGCCCCAGATTAGTGGTCTGGAGGGACCCAGAGGGGGAGATGGGGGGAGACATGGCAGCTCTCTTGCAAAATATGTAGGAGGTCCATGGCTTGTTCTCCACAGCCTCAGAGAGCAGGACTTGATCCTAATGGGTTACAGGATGGGTTGGACTGAACATAAGGAGATACTTATTGTTCATGAGGGCAGTTTGGCAATGGACCCAGTTGCCAGAGTGGTCATGATCTCTCTCTACCTCTCTTCAAGCAGAAGCTGGCTGGGGAGAGCCACCTGTCAGATTTCTTGCATCAAGCAGAATGGGAAGGGGGCTGGACTAGATGATCTACAAGACCCTGCATCCAGCTGTATAACTCTATGAAAGAAAGGAAGTTTGCTTAAAGCAGGAAAGGTGTCTGAAGCCATGGCCAAGCCAGTGCACTCCAGTAGGTTTGGACTACACAGCATGGCCAAAGACATAAGTCAGCATCTCCTGCTCCTCTCTTACCTCTTGGCCAGGTAGTCCCCTGGGGCCAGGTAACCCACGTGCTCCTGGTTTTCCCTGCAACAGACAAAGGGGAGAGTGGGGAAGGCTGAGAAAAAACACACAAGCTTCCAAGGGCTCATCGAAACAGAGTGAAAGCTGCCTTCCAGTGTGTGTTGCCACAGGACGGCATCCAACATCAATTCTGTTGCAGATTGAGAGGGGAGAGAGACCAAGAGAGAAAAAAGAAATCTGTTCCAGCTCTCTTGGAGCCATCTCAACACAAACAAGCCCTAAAAACCAGAGCTTTGGCCATGACTATCTGCAGGGATCTCCAGGATTTTTCCTCTTCCTCTCCTTACCCAGCCATTCTTTCTTTGGTTCTTTCATATGCACTGGCACTTGCCAAGAAAAATGCAAAGTCTGTTTATTTCAGCACCACTCACCTTAATGCCTTCGGGGCCATTTTGTCCTGGTGGGCCAATGTCACCTGGAAAGCCCTAGAGAGCATCAGACAGAAATGGTGTTAAAACAACAAGATCCCCAAGCTAAAGCTTCACACGCCAGGCATTGGGAGGAGAGAGATAGCCTGTTGCCTGCTGAAATAAGCCAGGCTTATTGTAGCGTAGCAAAACCAGCACCAAAAACATTTTTGTTGGTCAACTCTTGTTTTGCTATGTATCTATATACTTAAGCCTAGACTGGAGGGGGGTTGTGTGTGTAATGTTGATTTTATTCTGTGGTTGCCAAATTGTTGATTTTTTGCTTCTTCTATAGGCTGAGGGAACACTGAAGCTGGGTCCAGTATTATAGCTAGATATAAAGGCTTATTCAGTGGCGTGACCAAAGCACTCTCTCAAACCATAGTGCCTTAAGTGGCTGCATGCAGCTACTATACAGTACATACATACATACAAACAAACATTATTTTATTTGTATGCCACCTTTCCAGGATTCAAACCATGCTCAAGGCTGCTTACAACATGGAAAAACACATAACTGCAACATAAGAAAGTAGACATGAACAATAAATAAAACACATCAAAAATACACAAACAAGCTGATCAATTTCCACATCAATCATTAGATCTTAAAACAGAGATACAAAAAAAAAAATATCAGTAGCAACAAAAACCAGTAAGCAATACCCCATTCTAAGAGTCTGTTCATCAGCCTCAGCTCTTGCAGCTGGAGTCAGTTGGGGCCCTGTCCTCCCAGGCCAGGTGGGAAAAGGCCAGCAAGGCAGGAAGCAGGTCTTCCTGCTTACAGTAGGTCTGAAGCCAGTAACTAATCAAAATAATGTCTGTTCTTTTGGTTCTCTTGCTTATCATACCATGCCTAAAATCTGGGGCACTGTATAAATAACTTGCGGGCACTGGAGAGCAGGCTGATTCGGATTGGGACTTGGGGATTGTGGGGAGTTGTTCCCAACTGTGGTCTCAATTTGGTCAGGGGAGGGACATGCCTGCTAATTGGGGAAGGACTGTGGTTCAGTGGTAGAGCATCTTCTCTGCATGGAGAAGGTCCAGGTTCCATCCCAGAATCTCCAGTCAGTGTGGACAATGCTGAACTTGATGGACCAAGGATCTGACTCAGTATAAGGGAACTGTTAATCTTCCCGTCTGAATGCGATGGGAAGAACCCAAGCCTATCAGCAACACACACATAGAACCCATCCAGACCATGCACCCTACCCCCACTTGCAATTAACTTCAGAAATCTGCTAATTGTCTGAACAATATCTTATCCTGGAGAATATAAGAGCCTGGAGAAGAGAAGACTGAGAGGTGATAGGATAGCCATCTTCAAATATCTCAAGTGCTGTCTCTTAGAAGGTGGAGCAAGCTTGTTCTCCCCTGCTCTGGAGGGTAGGGCCTTAACCAAGGGATTCAACTTACAAGAAAGGAGATTCCGACTAAACATTAAGAAATCACTTTCTGACAGTAAGAGCTCTTCTACAGTGGAACAGTCTCCTTTGGAAGGCTGTGGACTCTCCTTCCTTGGAAGTTTTTAAGCAGAGGTTGGATGGCCGCCTGTCAGGGATGCTTTGGTTGATATTCCTGCATTGCAGGGGGTTGAACTAGATGACCCTTGGGGTCCCTTCCAGCCCGATAATTCTATGAATGTGTTGTTTGTTCCTTAGCATAAATCAATCCTTCTTTGTCATGAAAACTTTCCCCTTCCTCTCAGCTAAAGATGTGCTTATGTCAGCAAATGTTTCCTTGGCACGACACAGCAAAGGCAGTCCCCATTCAATTCTTTCCGCATTTAGAGTCAGCAGCTAGTCATGTTTTCTTGAACAAATAAATCAAAGCATTGCAAGCTTGACCAAGAAGGGGGGGAGGGGAAGCAGACTTGGCATTGCAAATGGAGAGGTGACGACATGCTCATTAGCTGGAGCACTTGACGTTTAACACCAACCCCATTTTTCGCCCACAATCCATTCAACTAAGGAAACAAAGAAAGCCACAGTCCAAGCCAATATTAACAAAGAGAAAGATTATCAAGTGATACCACTCAATGGAGAGCTGTTCCAGACCCAGCAAAATACCAGAACGTTGACTGGGGGGGGGGGGAAGCTGGTGGTGTGAGCCAATATTTTAAACCATTCTCCAATGATGCACATGTCTTTTTAAAAGAGCTGGTGCTGACCTTTAAAGCCCTAAATGGCTTTGGCCCTGTATACCTGAAGGAGCGTATCCACCCCCGTTGTTCAGCCCAGACACTGAGATCCAGCACTGATGTTACAGGGAACCAGGCAGAGGGCCTTCTTGGTAGTGGTGCCCTCCCTGGAACACCCTCCCATCAGATATCAAGGAGATAAAGAATTACACAATTTTTAGAAGGCATCTGAAGGCCTTTCCCTATAGGGAAATTTGTAATTATTGATGTTTTTATGAGTGTTGGAAGCCACCCAGAGTGGCAGGGACAACCCAGCCAGATGGGCAGGGCATAAATAAAAATGATGATGATGATGATTATGATGTACCAAGAACTCAACCAGAATCAGAGCAGAGGTCCATGTAGTTCAACATCCTGCTTCCCACAGTGGCCTTAAACATGCTTCCAGAAAGGCAACAAGCAGTGTCCAACTCTCTTTGTCTCTCTCTCACACACAGCCAGTGTGTGCCCTCCCACCCCACTGGCAACCCAGTGCCATTCTGCCTTCTCTGAATGTGGAAAATTCATAACTGTTAACAGATCTGCCCTCCGTCAATTACAAACTGGTCCAGGCTAATGACAGCTCAGTCCTCCATTAATTACAATGCCACAAAGCCATCAGAAGTGCTCTTCTGGATCATGCCAAGGGCCCATCTAGTTCAGCATCCTTTTCTAACAGCAGCTAACCAGATGCTCATGGGAAGCTTGCAAGCAATGCAGAAGTATTCCCCACACCTGTGATTCCCAGCAACTGGTATTCAAAGGCATCAGTGGTGGTTGGTATCCATTGGGACTGGTGGGGCAGAAGGCAGGGGCACCAACATCAGGTGCAGCCAGAGCCAATGATAGACAACCCTGCTGATTCGGGTTTTGTCCCCATCTTCCTCCCTGTTGAGTCCTACAAAGGGAACATTGAGACTAAGGTGGAGGAGGAGGAAGAGGTTGGCAGCCTTGGCCACCCCTCGGCTGAGGGCACTGCCCCATTTGGCCTTATGAACTAATCTCCACCAAGAGGCATACTGCCTCCAACAGTGGACGGAGAGCACAGCCATCATGGCTACAAGCCATTAATAGCCTTTAACCTCAATCTAAGCCAGTGGCCATCACCACATCTTGTGCTGGGGCTGGCATCAGTCCAGCCCTCTCACACTGTTTCTGCTTGGTATCGCTGCCTGTTGACCTGTCCTCTCAAAGCATATGCAGAGTGACAACAGCAAGTCTACTCCTTATTGGTCGGGGATGGAGAACCTCTGGCCTTCCAAATGTTGTCAGACTACAATTCCCATCATCCCTGACCAATGTTCATGCTGCCTGGGGCTGATGGGAGTTGGAGTCCAACAACATCCAAGATAGCTCAGTTGGTAGAACATGAGACTCTTAATCTCAAGGTCATGGGTTCAAATCCCAGTTTGGCAGGAAGCTGGAGTAGATGACCCTCATGGTCCCAACTTTACAATTCTATGAATGTCTAGGGGGCCACAGGATCCTCACTCCTGTTTTGGGCAATGATATGGCTTGGGCTCACAGGGAACAGGCAATTGAATGAGTAGCAGTGACCTTGGTGAGGAGGAGAAGACCCACTCAGTGAAGGCATCCCTCTGAGGGCCTCTTGTTGTTGGACTCCAACTCCCAGCAGCCTCAGCCAGCAAGTCTAGTGGTCATGGGGGATGTGAGCTGTAGTCCAGAAACATCTGGGGAGCCACAGATTCCTCATACCTAGCATGCCCTGTCTATCCCAACTGCAGAATTAGAAATCAATTGCTTCATGTTGCTAATGGTGGAATTTTAAACACTGTGTGTGTAAATGCTGTGTTGGTACAATTCTGCCTTTTTAATTTTATTGTTTTATATTGCCTTGTGGTTTTTCAGTTTCATTGCTTGATTTATTCTTTTGTTCATTTGTAAACTGATTAGGAACTGTTTGGTACTAAGCAATATATAAATATATGAAAGGAATAAATATCCTTCGTTTGGAAGCCCCAGGTTCATCTTTAACAGGGATGATTAAGTGGTGCAACTCAAACCCCATGCACACACTGAACCCAGTGGAGTTTACTTTAAAGCATGGACGTTGTTGTTGTTATTTATTATTTATACCTATTCGGTCTTTTTATGCAAAGAAAACTCAAAGTGACCTACAATATAGGAATATAGGGCAGGGAACTTGAGGCTCTCCAGGGGCTGCTGGAGCCCAGCCAATGGTCAGGGCTGATGTGAGTCAGGAGTTCAGTAATATCTAGAAGGCTACAAGTTCCTCACTACAAAAATGAATAGGCATAGGATCAGATGCCGCACCTCATTCCATGTATCATTTTTGGGGTGAGACTTACCATAGGAAATGTCTCCCTCATTGCACCAGTAACATAAAATATTCTATGGACACAAAGGTGGCTAAGATTCCATCGGCTCTTCCTACCCCAGAGCCCCACTCCCACCAGAACTGTGACATGGGAAATATTCATGCTACCAACAGGACTCTGCCTTATACTGAGTTCCTCCAGCTCAGCAATTTCTGCACAGACTGGCAGCAGCTCTGCACAATTTAATCCTAGTGCTAGCTAGAGATGCCGTGGATCAAAGCTGTGAATGTCTGCCTGCGAAGTGGATGCTCTATCATTGAACTACAGCCTCCCCCACTGACTGTGACAGTTGTTCAGTGGTACATCGGTTTATAGATGCTTCAGGTTACAGACTCCGCTAACCCAGAAACAGTACTTCGGGTTAAGAACTTTGCTTCAGAATGAGAACAGAAATTGAGCGGCGGCAGTGGGAGGCCCCATTAACTAAAGTGGTGCCTCAGGTTAAGAACAGTTTCAGGTTAAGAACGGACCTCCAGAACAAATTAAGTTCTTAACCCAAGGTACCACTGTATATTACTGAAGCAGTGCAAGAGGTAGCCAAGGAAGGGGGAACAATTTTGCCCCAGCAACCACATTGCAAAAATAACCAAAGGACCTGGGCTTAAATTAGCCTTCTTCAGCAAGATAGGTGGCACTCTTTAAATATTTAGTGTTTCATCCTGTTCCTTATATAAAAGAATGCTGGACAATACTCAACCACTGCCTCGTCACATACAAGAACGAGAGGAACTGTAGTAAACTTCACAGGACAGCCATTCCGAAAAATATAATTCATTGAAACTGATCCAGAACCTCACCACAAGCTTTTAAGACTCATATTTTGACTATGGCACAAACTGTTTTGATGCACACAATTTCATAATATAAACCATTTCTCTTTTAAACCTATCCATGTTCTGCCTTTCCTCTCTGACATGTTTAGTTCAGCCACCAAGACCGTGTCCCATTACTTAAATAGCCTTTATTTATTTTAACCCCATTGGCTTTCTGATGGGTTTCTAGTATCTGCCAAAGACTATTCCTGATACAAACATATTAATAACTGAGGGCTGACCAATATGGTGGGGAGCTTTCCTGGATGAACTCCTTTCTTTATTTTCCTTCTTTTCCTCTCATTTCAGCCAAATGAGTCCCTACAACCAAAAAATATGACCCAGCTGCTTCAAGTGATGAGGGTGCTCCACTAGACTCCTAAGTTATGTCCTGTCTGTTACAGCAAACCCAAAAAGGAGTCTCGGGGCACAAGCATTATGCTGATTACAAAAAGACATCAATGGGCAAAGCAGGCCTGGGCCTACGAAAGCTTATACCACAAAAAATCCACTAGTCTTTTGAAGATGATACCAGACTCCATTTTGTCCACTCAGCCCTAAACAGTGGGGCAGGAGCTCACTGTGACAGCTCCAAAAGCCACGCCCCCCAAGCTGTGGGAGCTGGTGCCTTTTGGGACTGGTAGAATGGGAAGCAGGGAGACCAACAGCAAGTAGAGCCAATGACAGGCAGAGGCTACCTAATTCTGGTTTTGTCACCACCATCCTCCCACCTAAGTTACACAGAGGCTATGAAGGAGGACGCTGATAGGAAGTTCCACCGCACTAGACTGGATGCATGTAAGAAGTAGGCAGGTGTGGGCTGGCTGAGTGCGGGGTGAGGTTGATAGGGCACAGTCCCATTTGCCCCATTGAGATAGCCTTCCCTGCTCCCAGGAAGGGTCCAAACCTGCAGGCAGCTGTGTTGATCCATTTTGGATTCCCACAGGCATCTGGTTGGCCACTTTAAGAACAGGAAGCTGGACTGCATGGGCCCTTGGCTTGATCCAGCAGGGCTCTTCTTACATTCATTTTACTTGCCTTTTAAAAAAATGTAATAAGCAAGGGGGTGGGATTCAAAGAAGTGGATGAATTTTAAGGAAGGAAGGAAGACCAGCTTAGGATAGAATGCGATTTAAGAAGAAAGCAACTAAAGAAATGGCAATAGGTCTCCAAAGGAAGAAGCAATCTTGAACTCATACCTCAGGGCCAGGTGATCCTGGAATTCCAACTGCACCTTTGTCACCGCTCTTCCCCTGCAGAAAACCAGAAGGGGAACAATGACTCAAGAGAGGGCTTTTTAAGATTGAGGCAATCAACCTGGGTGCTGACCTATTGAAATGCTCCTACATAAAACATAAAACCAATATACCCTTCCACCTAGAAAACTAGCAGGTCAGGACTAGGTTTGCTTTCTACCTGGCTTACCAAGAAAATACTTTTTTCACGAGGACACATTCAATCACCTTTTCTTTTCTTACATTTACATCCCACCTTTCTTCTCCCCAGTAATCCAGCCTTCCCCAGTCTTGGATCCCTAGATGTTGTTGAACTACAAACCCCAACACCCTCATCCCTGGCCAATGATCAGGGATGATGGGAGCTGTAATCCTAAAACAACTGGGGACAAGGTTGCTCTAGCCATTACACTGGTTCTGAGTAGTAGACTACTGGCAGAAGCCTTTATGGGTCAAAATGGAAACAGGAGCAGTTACTTACAGCAGGTCCTGGCTTTCCTCTGGCACCTGGCATCCCAGGTGAACCTTGGCTACCCTGAAAAACAGAAGAGAAGCTTCTAGAGGACAGCCCCAGGCAAGAATGTGCAACAGTCAGGGACGATGGGAGTTGTAGTCCAGCAAAATCAGTATACTCCAGCCCTAAGCATGACAACTCACTACAAATTGGGGCCAACGCAGTATGTTTTGGCACCTGAGAACCACAAAATTGTGTCCGCACCCCCAGCCAGGGAAGAAAGGGTGAGTGACGATCTACGTCAGGAACAAGGGAGAGAATCAAATCAATCTTACCCAATGGTTGAAGTGGGAATCAGAGGCTGTCACAGAGGAAAGGGCCTGCTCTGAATCAAGCTGGATGGGTGCAGAGCCCCAAAGACCCCAGAGGGTAGCCCCTGCCATTTCCTCCCTAGGGGTGGGAGGAGACCAGCAGTGTCTCCTATTCACCAAGAGGCTGCTATGGAGGTGGCATGGGGGGGGGGGTCTGCCAAGGAGGCAGCAGATCAGCCTCCAAGGATCTCACTGCAGCAGCGAGTACCTGCTGCTCGAAGTGGTCACCTGACCTTGCCTCATTGGGTGGGTTGGCCCTGCTTCAGGTCAACGCTGATCAAGCATTGGCTGGGGAGGGTGCCCAATATGAATGTTGTCATCAAGGGGGCGGGACTTGTACATTCCCTCTTTGCCTGTTCAAACTGAATACCTGACAAGTGCTGCAGATTCTTCTGAACTGCCTTAGGCCCCAGATAGCTTTCCAGACACCAGACATACAGACCAGGCTAATGAGATTCCCCAGCCGCTATTACCAGTTCTTTAGATTGTTGAATAATTCATTGTAATGTTTTACTACTGCAGTTTTGATTGGTAACCACTTCGGTAGTCAGTGAATGAAAAGGGGCATAAAAATTATATGCACACACTTTCATAGAAAATGTAACAAGGTGGTAAACAACGTGAAAACACAATGCTGCAATAATAGCGTAAGTAAAAGCATCAGTACCAAATCAATAAAAATTGGTTGGTAAAAAAATCCTTGGTCCAAAGGACTGTCTGAACAATTCCATTTTTAAAAGACATCTAAAAGAAAATAGGGGCAATTCCTGCCAAATATGTATTTGCAGCGAGTTCCACAGGTCATGACCTGCCATGTTAAAAGCTTCCCCTCCAAAAAAAATGTCCCATCAGAGGATCTCATTGATTAAGTTGAAACATTAATGTAATTATTATTAATCATGAAGATAATCTGCTTATTTGTATGCATGCTACTTTTTCATAAAATTGTGTCCAAAGTGGCTCACAACAACACATCAAACAATAAGTAAAGCAGTTCAGAAATAATAATTAATACCCGTTTTACAAATAGCATGCACACAAATGAGTCATGGCAGTCTAACAGCTTTGAATTGAAGAGAAGGTAATTTTAGTAATTTGATAAAAAAAATCCAATAAGTTTTAATTTGAAGGAAAGTGGGTTTGGAGTGCAATAATCTCACCAAGGGCAGGTGGTGGGTGGGAATCAG